TCAGTCGTTAAGCATCTGCCTTCGGCTCAGGTCATGATCCCGGGGTCCTGGGATTGAGCTCCCCGCATTGGGCTCCCTGTTTGGCGGGAAGCCTGCTTCTCCCTCTCCCACTCCCCCTGCTTGTGTTCCTGCTCTCGCTGTGTCTCTCTCTGTGAAATAAATAAATAAAATCTTTAAAAAAAAAAAAAAAGAAATGCAGGCATCCCTCCCAGGCCCCCGGCCCAGGCAGGTGGATTTCTGAAGCCCTGAGCCCCACCGAGGCCCTTTCCCGGGGAAATGGATCCCCTACTCGCTTCACTTCCTCTCTGCCTCTCTCTGAAGGGCAGCTAAACACTTGCTTGTCCTTGATGCTCTCTCAAGGATGGAGAAACCCATTCCTGAGAAGTTACTGTATGGGAGTTCTTGCTGTTTGGATTCCTACCAAGCCATCATCTCTGTCACAGTCACTGGTTCACATCGGGGAGTCACCAGTGGGTGGCCTTGCTTCTCTTGTCCAGCTTTGTACCCGAGACAAAGCAGAGGATTTTTACTCACTTGAGGAGCGGCAGGTCCCAGCTACTGTTTGCTGGTCAATCAAATGGCAAAGCTGAAGTGTGGGAGGAACGCAGGGAGTGTTCCAAAGAAACCAGAAAACCCTTGATTGATGTGTGCATGCACCTCTAATTTCTCCATGAGACTCCCCTCAACAGACTTCTTAACTGTGTTCATTGGGGAAATTTAAATTCTCACATGGAAAGAGACTTTTTTTTTCTATTGATTTTAGAAATCAATGTTAATGCTGCTGCCTGATGTTGAAAATTAGTAGGGCCATATATATACATTAAAATGTGCTCTGTGTTCCTTTCTGGTAGTCCCTTTAAGTGCTCCTAGATGCCTAAGTCCTTGGAAGGGAATGAACAAGGAATAAAGGAGAGAAATCACACATGGGGCCAGCGTGTATATACGGAAGGGTGAGTGGTTTGCTGTCGCTGGAGCACAGAGTTTGTGGCAGGGGTGTTGGGACGAGGTGGTAGAGGCAGGCAGGGGCCAAGGCATGGGAACCTTGGACGCCTGTGAAGAGTTTTGAACTTCATTTTGTTGATGATGGGACACCATTGATAGATTTTAAATCTGGGGTGACAAAGTTGGATTTTGTGTGTGTGTGTGTGTGTGTGTGTGTGTGATTGTTCTACAGGATGGATTTTGAGGAGTCTCAGATCAGAAGGAGGGAGAGCTACTGGAGGCTTTCATTCAAGTGAAAGATGTTGACAGCCTGGACAAAGGCAACGGAGGCGGGCAGACAAAGAACGCAGTGGGAATGAGGAATACCTACACAGGAAGTGAAATGAGCAAGACCCAGTAATTGATCGGCTCTGCGAAGCCAAGCGGTATCAACAGTGTGTCCTAGGTCTCCAGTATGTGTGAGTGGGTAGGTTGTGGTGTCACCAACTAAAATGGAGGCTTCAGAATACAGAATATGGAGTTCAGAATATCGGGGTAATGGAGATTTTCCCTTAAATATTTTGAGTTTGAGATGTCTGTATTTACCCAGGTGGTATGAGCAGTAGGGAGTGGAATATGGAAACTTAAGCTCCCAGATCCCGGTAGGGGAGTGTTGGCCTGGTGCCAGAATGCCTGGATTCAAATCCTAACTTTATCACTCGTGGTCAGTGTTCACAAGGTGGTGTGGAAGTAACAAATGATCCTCATATCTAATGGCTTACAACAAACATTTCTGTCCCCACTGACATATATGAAGGTTTGGCTTTGACTTTGTTCCACGTGTTACTCATTCTGGATCCCGGGCTCATGGTGGAATCCCCATTCCAGGCTTGTGCAGAGGGAAAAGAGCAATGGCAGGGACACAAGGACTCTAAAACTTCTGCGAGCTCAGGCACCTGGCCCTTCTGTTCACATTCTATTGGCCCAAGCCAACCACACAGACAAGCCTGGGGTCAATGAAGTGGGGAAGTACACTCCTCCCATGGGAGGTACAGCATATGACAACGATCGGGGAGCCATATTACCCTAGTGGAGAAGGGAGGAAATAATTGGGCCCAATCATATGCTCTACCACAACCACTAACCAGCTATAAAACCTTGGTGGTTTACTCAACTTCTCCCTGCTTTGGTCACGTCATCAGTAAAACAGGAATACTGGTACTACCTCTTGGGATGGCTACATAAAGTACTTAGAATAGTGCCCAACACAGTACAGAGTAAACGCTATATAAATGTAGGTGGATGGAAGGGAGGGGGGAAGGGGGAGCTCTTTCTCCATGGGTATAGAGTTTCAGTTTGGGAAGATGAAAAAGTTCCGGAGACGGATAGTGACAATGGTTGTACAACAGTGGGACAGTACTTAACGAACCAGAAGTGTATGTCTAAAAATGGTTAAAATTTTATGTTATGCATATTTTGCCTCGATAAAAAACTTGTAGGTAGATGGGACCATCTGGGCAGAGCGTGAAGAGTGGAGAAGGCAGTAGGTAGAAGGCAGAAAGCTCGGGAAGCATCTGAAAGCACCCAGCAGTGGGGGCAAAAGCAATGGAGACAGAGAAGGAACATTCTGGATAGACAAGGAAAAGCAGGAGAGGTCACTATCTTCTGAAGCCAGGGGAGTAGAGTTAGGAGGGAGTGTTGGAATGCTTGAGGATGTCTGTTTTGCTTGTCTTTGAACCTGAACCTTCTCTTTGGCACCTTGATTTTGTGGGTCTGCTTTCCTCTGCTAGCTCCTGATGAAGTCATTTCTGGTCAGTGCCCACGCTGGGCCCAGACTGCCTCAAGGCCGAATCCTGGCCTGGTCTCCTCTCTTGGCTCCTTCCATCCCCTCTCTGTAGCCAGTTCTATTTTGTCCATGGCTAACATCTTGGTGAGACAAATCTCTTTTAATTAAAAAGACGTAAGATTGAGGACATTTCTTCTTGTGGCATTTTTTATTACTATTGATGTATATTGTTTTATCCTGAGACACAAAACCTACAAATTCTGAACTTAAAAATTAGGGGGGGGGGCACCTGGGTGCCTCAGTCATCTGGGGTACCTCAGCGTCTGATTTTTGATTTCGGCTCAGGTCATGATCTCAGGGTCATAAGATCGAGCCCCATGTCAGGCTCTGCGCTCAGCGAGGGGTCTGCTTGAGATTCTCTCTCTTCCTCTCCCTCTGCGCCACCCCCCCAAATTAGGGGTGGTTAGTTTATGGCCAAAATTCCTTTAGTAACAAAAGAATTCATCTTTTGCTTACAGAACTTCAATGATTTGATAAGCCGTAGGTTAGGGAAACTGACAGCTAACATTTTGTAAGGGGGGATGACAATGCAGTTACAAAGGGCGAGCAACATAAGTTTTTCCAATGATGACATTTGCACCCCCACATTTTGAAGAACCTAAAAGGGGATACCTTGATCTAAGTGATTTCTTCCCTTTTTTTTCTTTGTTTTTAGACATTGTCCAGCTGCCCATCACACGAGCATCAGAGGGTTGCCCACAGAGAGAACACGGTTCTTAGCTCTACAAAGAAAAAGGCCTGAGAACTATGCTCTTTTATTGATTTTATTTCTCCAAGAGTTTTCTTACTAAGTGAATTAACCTTGCACCGTTAACTTGACGTAATCTTAAGAAAATATATGAAATATGCTTTAGAAAAAATGACACGTGCTCTAACCAGCCATCTCGTTTGGCAATCATTTTCCAGAGCGGTTGTCCTTTCGGGATAGGGAGGTGGGGCTTTTTTTACACGTGAGTGATTAAATCTACACACAAGAGCTCCAAACTCTTGCTGACCTCCCTCTGCAACACCAGCTGGTGTTGGGAGACAGAGTACTGAGGCCAGCAGGGGTCTCTCTCCAAGGCTTGGGTCACCCCAAGCTGTTTGGCCATCAGTCCTGGAGGGTCACCCCAGAAGATCTGGGCAGTTCCCGAACATAAACTTAGCAGCTCCTCCCGCCATAACAGCAATCGTGGAACACATTGGAAGGGCTCAGATGCATCCCGTGGGGAAAGACGGATTGGCTTTTTTTTGTCCCCATTTGAAGACAGGGTCCCTTGAAAGCACACGATACTTCTACTGCAGGGTTCCACATTTCTAGGCTGTCACTCACTGGGCTTAGTACGATCTCTTCATCCTCGGGCCATGGGGGACGCTTCCCAGCCCCCAACTCAATAATGTGAGCGTCTGGATAGGTGCCCAATCCCCAAACTGTGGATTTAAAAGGAATAGCGGCTCCGTGGCTCTGGGGCGCGGCTCAGCACTCTCAGCTCTATCCCTGAATCGACCCCGAAGAGGCAGGTGCTGTCCTGGGTCCGTTCTCCGCCCCGCAGTCAAGCCAGTGTGAACGGGCCCGTATGGGGACCACCTACACCAGGCTGTTTCTCCGACCGTCCTACTCCAGCCCGTGCTATAAACTTGCCCGCTCAGCCGACAACTTTGGGAGATAACGACTGGGTTTCTGATTGGCAGCCGCTGAGTTTCTGTCCTCCACTCTCCTCATCCTGATTCTCCCTGGGGTTTCGGGACACCGGAAGGCTCCCCAAAGCCTCAGATACGGAACCCAGAAAGGAAGGGTGGTCTAGGCTGTGTGTATGTGTTCTAGTCATTTCCTTCCTTTGGAGCATTTGGTTTCACAGGTCACGAGCTGGTCCCAGGGCTCCTCACCCAGCAGACCAGGTGGTGTCCGGGCCTGGAGGAGGGCTGGCTGGTGTCGGAGGGAGGGGGTAGCAGGAGAGGTGGGCAGCAGCTGAGAGACCCCAAGCAGCAGTGTGTCTGGAGCTGTTCCCAGATTCGCTTGGGTCCAGTCGGGCTTCTGTATGATTCCATGAGAACTGTGGGAAGTAATGGCCTTGGGGAAGGGGCTGCTAAGACAGAGCAAAACTGGAGAGAACTTTCTGGGAAACTTCAAGGCTCCCAGGGAGGCTGGACAGCTTCGTGTTTAAGAGTCATTGCAAGACGTGGAGAGGTTGCCCTGGGAAGGGGGTTGGTGGGAGAAGGTGAAAGAGGGGTTGGGTGAGGACTGGGGTGAGGGTAGCTGGGTAGGGGGCTCAGTCCTCAGTCTTTCTTTCTCCATGGAGAATCTCACTCTGAACTTGGAGAGGCAGCAGAGTCCCCATCCTCAGGGTCCTGCCCGTTGGGGGAGATTGGCTGACCCCCTTTCACACGCTTCCACTTCATCCTTCGGTTCTGGAACCACACTTTGACCTGATGGAGGAAGCAAAGGAACCTGGTCATCAAGGGAGGAACAATTACCTCCCCATATTGACGCTCAAGACAGCAGTTTGCAGTTCTGGGGACCCCAACTGGAACCTCCACTTGTCCTGTCCCGCTCCTCCAAAGGCACCAGGAATCAAGACAAAAGGGAGGACACATCAATCTGCCCAGAGACCTCTCTTGTGTCTCCCTGTCTTTGTGTCAGCAAGCCTGCCAGCCTGGGGACAGGGTCTAAGAGTCACTTGGCATTTGGCCCCACCTACTTTCACATGCCCCCCCCCCCCCCCCCCCCCCCCCCCCCCCCCCCCCCCCCCCCCCGCCGCCTCCGGTGTCAACACCTCCTCCCTCTAGCTTCTGTTACCCAAGGGTCTGGGAGCAGAGGATCACCAGCCTCATCCTGAGGCACGTTCCTAAAACACTTGTCAGTTTAGATAGCTCTGGTCTGCGTATTTTCTCATCTTAGCTTCAGCATTACCTGCAGGGTGGGGTCATGACCCTGGAGACCCAGAGAGGTCAGGAGACATGTCCCAGAGGTCACAGGCCTAGAAAGTGGTAGAGGCAGGATCTGAATCTTAGTTTTCTAAACCGAGCACTCTGGCAGAGCCCCTCATCAACTGAAAGCTGCTATCAAATACTATTATTATTATAATACTTTACTCCATGTTAGAACGTGGGTGTGGGTGGAATGCTCTGAGGGAAAACCCCAAACAAAAGGGCTAGGAAGTTTTTTTTAGAGGAGTCCAGGAACCACCTGGGGAACTTACTAGAAATGCAGACTCCCAGTCCCGCTTATTGTTACTGCAAAGTCACTCTCCAGAGTTATGGAATCTGCATTTTTTTTTCGAGTTTTAAATTTTATTTTTGAAGTAATCAATCTCTACACCCAGCATGGGGCTTGAACTCATGACCCCAAGATCAAGAGTCGTCTGCTCCACTGACTGAGCCAGCCAGGCACCTCTTCGAATCTGCATTTTAAACAAGGGCTGACTGAGGTGATTCCAGTGCACGCTTAAGTTTGGGAATAACCAGATCAGAGGTTCCAACCCTGACTGCACGTGAGAACCACCTAGGGGAACTCTGAAAAAGTGCTGATGTCTGGACTCTATCCCAGACCAATGAAAACAATCTCTAAATCTCCCCAGACATCGGTGTTGTTAAACTCTCTGCCAGTGATTCAGGTAGAGCCACAGTTGAGAACCACTGGACTGGGCAGAGGGAGAAGAGAAAGGAGAAGTTTCAGGGAGGAGTGGTGGGAAGGTTGGGGGATGAGAGAGCAGAGGAAAGGAGGGATGGCCAGAGGAGGGGGGCCCCCTGGACCGCACCTGCCGCTCGGAGAGGTCCAGGTTCACGGCGATCTCGTATCTCCGAAGCCGGGTCAGGTAGTTATGGTGCGCAAACTCGGCCTCGAGCTCCCGCAGCTGCTCCTTGGTGAAGGCTGTCCTCTCCTTGCGAGCCTTGCTGCCTCCCTCGGGCTTCCCTCGGCTCTCCTGGTTGTCTGGGGAGAAAGCATCCCAAACAGGAACATGTGAGCCGCAGAGGTTCCCTTTCTTTTGTCCTTAAGAGTCAGGGCAGCGCAGGCTTTCCTGTCTCTCTTGTTTTTATTTTTTATTTTATTTTATATTAAAGATTTTATTTATTTATTTGAGAGAGAAAGAGCGCGCGCATGAGCATGAGCAGAGGGGAGGGGCAGAGGGAGAGGGAGAAGCAAACCTCCACCAAGCAGGGAGCCTGATGCGGGACTCGATCCCAGGACCCTGGGATCATGACATGAGCTGAAGGCAGATGCTTAACCAACTGAACCACCCAAGCGCCCCTGTCTCTCTTGTTTTTTAAAGGATCTTGAGAAAGAACCCACATTGTCCCTTTATCATTCCTTCTAGCGCTTTAACCCCCTGAGAACTGGGAAGTCTTCTGGCTCCCGGCCTCAGGTGCATCCACCCCCCACCCCAAACTTTTTTTTTTTTTAAGATTTTATTTATTTATTTGAGAGAGAGAGAGAGAGAGCATGAGCGGGGTGAGGGGAAGAGGGAGAAGGAGACTCCCTGCTGAGCAGGGAGCCCGCGATGCAGGGCTCGATCCCGGGACTCAATCCCAGCACTCCTGGATCGTGACTCCAGCCAAAGGCAGACGCTTAAGGGCTGAGCCACCCAGGCGCCCCTACCCCAAACTTTTTTTTATCCCCAAAGCACGAGAAGCTGCTCTTGGCTGTTTAATGATTTCTACTATCCAACCTCCACCCCTCCATCCCCCGTTTGACACTAGTAGTGGCTATAAGTTTGTGGGGCAAAGGTTCTAAAACTGAGGCTCTCTGTCCTCAGAGACATCACCATCACCTGAGAACTGTCAGAAATGCATATCCTGGGGCCTCATCCCAGACCTACTGAATCAGACACTCTGGGGGTGGGGCCCAGCAATAAGTCTTCAAGGTGATTGTGACACACGGTCACGTTTATGAACCCCTGCTCTAAGACCTCACTTCTCAGAGGGTGCCGTGGCCACAGCAGCAGGGCCCGGGAGTTGGTCAGACTTGCAGGATCTCAGGCCCTACCCATGACCTGCTGAATCAGAATCACATTTTAGCCGGATCCCCAGGGGAGTTGTGTGCACATGTAAATTGAGAAGTGCTGCTTTAAGCTTCTTTCCCACTTTGATACCAGGAGGGGCCAAGTCTGGAAAGTTCTGGGCTCTGCATTAGACACAGCAGGAGCTCCATCATAGCGGCTAACAGGGATGCGGGGAGCAAACACCTTCATGTATCAGCCACTTAATCCTCCCAATAACTCAGCCAGGTGAGTTCTTGTATTAGCCCCACACTGTATAGACCAGAAAAGTAAACCCAGAGACATTTAAACAAGTTGTTCAAGTTCATCTAGTTGGTCCAGCCAATGACTGGCTGAGGCAGAAATCAAACCCAGTCAGTTTGACTCACATGCTGTTCAAGTAAAATCCACGTAGGAAGGGGTTACAAACTGTAGAGTGCTGTACAAACGACAGGGACTATATGTTATCCCCCGCCCCGGCCCCCCAGCAAGCTGAGAGGCGGTTCTACCTTCACTTCAGTGGTGGAGTTGGGTGGGGAGGCAGCCCGAAGGAGACCAATCACCCACACAATTAACAATGCCGGCCACGAGTCCGGTGAATGGCTACAGGCTCTAAAATTTGGAAGTCTTTCATTTCATTGTCCTTTTACAGACCCGAAGGCCCCGTGGCTCAGAGTTAGGTGCTTTACTGAAAGCGGTGCCCCCACCCTGTACCCCCTTAGGGACCTCATGCGTGCCTGGGTGTGTGTGTGGGGGAGTCCCTGTTGTCGGGGGCTGGCCCGGAGGTGGGGGCTTTTAGACGGGTTTGTAGAGGGCAGGGAAGACCCCCCCCAAAGCAGCCACATTGCGGAGTGTGTGGGGAGGTGGAGACCCCTCGTCAGCCCTGGTCCAGTCGGGAACCTCAGCCCCCTGGTTCCCTTCTCCGCAGTTCCTTCTCCTGCTTTCCATTCAGTCCCTTGTGTTTCAGTTTCCAGGCCCCCCGGCCCCGCCGTGCAGGAGCCGGGAGAGGAGCCGGGGTGGCGGCTCAGTGGGGGGGGCATAGTAAAGCGATCGGGGGCGCCCCTGCGGGAACCGAGAAGGCAGAGGGGCGCCTTCCCCCCAGGGGCTCCCCTGTGCCCGGCTGCCCGGTCTTGGGGTTGGCCACCAGCGCGGCGCGCCCGGAGGCAGGAAGAGGCAGATCCCACAGGCTCGGGGGAAGGCTGGCCTAGACCCCTCCAGTGGGAGCGGGAGCGTGGGCTGGAGGGAAGGACGCGCAGCACACACACCGCCCCCCCCCCCGCCCCTGGCCGGGGATCCCCAGCAGTGCGCCGGCCTTGGCTGCCACCGGCCCGGGAAGGGAGGGCAGCATTCCCGGAGAACATCCCGGCGGGCAGAGACCCAGCTCATTTCCTACCCACTCCCGTCCCAGGGCTCAGGGTCGTTCCCAGCCCTTCCCTTGCACGACTGAGGGGGTGTAAAACCAAGATGACTCGTGTCAAGGTTTGAGGCCTCCATCTCCTCGCTGGGGGCCTTTGAGGAAGTCACTTAACCTCTCTGGGCTTCAGTTGCCTCATCAAGAAATTGGAGAAAATAAAGCACCTACCTCCCAGGGTTACTGGGAAGCCTGGACCAGCTCTTGTGTGGGGAAAATGCTTTTAAAACTTTAAAGTGCTTGAACAAAAACATATTCTTCCAATTCGTCCACTCTGAGAGATGCCATCTGAGGGGCTGGGATAGTACCAGCTGTGGTTTCTTGAAGGCTTCTATGTTCTCAGATCCATTTAATCCTTTCCACAAAACACCCCTAGGAGGAGCTACTATTATTGTCCCCTTTAGCATCATCACGAGGAGTTGTGTGATAATTTGATTAATAGTGCTCTCTTTCTCCCCCCATGGATGAAACTGCTTTTTCTCACTTGTTACTGTACCTGGTACAGTACTTGCTAAACATTTGCTAGATCCTACCCAGTATTCAGAGGAGGAAGCAGCCTCAGAAAGGCCCAGGAACTTGCCTGGTGTGTCCAGCAGTTTGGTGGGGGGTGGGGTGCAGAACTGAGATTGGGACCCAGATTCATCTGACTAGAGGTGCAGTGGTCAATGCTGGCCTCAGTTTCTCCATCTGCATCTGGCAGGCTCAGGGCTGGACCCAGAGTCTCCCCACCCAGTGCTCCTGGAGGCCCTGTCCTGGGTTGATGCCCTCACCCGCACTCCCCTCCTCCCAAGCCTGTTTAGGTGCACACGGGTGCCTATGAAAGCCCAGAAAACAGCCCACTCTCTCCAGTCCTGCACATTAGCCTCCCAAGAGAGATGAGGGGAGGTAGGGAGAGGACCCCTTTGAGCTGATCTTGGACTGGTTACTGGGCCCCTCCCTGCCCACCTCCTCACTCCTCTTACCGTCCCGAGGTAGGCGCTGGGCCTCAGGGTGGGAAAGAAGCGGAAATGGGACAGGGGAGCTGGGGCTGGGAAGTCAGTGAACCTGGGGTAACAACCGCAAAGGGGGTTGGGAGAGCAGCACCTAGAGGACACCTGCTCATCACCTTCTCAGGGAAGAAGGCCTCTCATCACCGTTAGAAATGACAAGAGGGCCTGAAGTATGGGAGGCTAGCTATGGCAATAGAAGTGGAAGTTCTGGTTCTCTTTGTTCTGCAACATTGTCATCAACATAGAAAAAGAAGGATGAAGACAAACCAGGAGCCATTTCTGGCTGGGAGGGGGGTGGGGGTTAGTCTGCCTGCTCACATGCACACTACCCTCAGGACAGTTTGATCCCAGGAGAGTACACCTTCGATGAGGTGCCTGCCTCCTACTCTGGGCCTCAGTTTCCTCATGGGGAGGAGCACGGGATTGGACTGGTGTCAGAGTCCTTTCCCAGTATGCAGCCCTGACATCTCTTCTCCTCTCCCTACTCTCTCTCCTGTTAAGAACCCCTGGCCTTGAAATTGAGGCCCCTCCGGTTGCAAATATTCTTGTCTAGGCTCCTAGTTCCTCCCTTCAGTCAGATCTGGAGTCTTGCTGTGTGCTCTGTCCCCAGGCCCTCCCCGGCCTTCCCAAGGTCTTCAGCTCACAGGTCAGGGCTATGCCAGGGAGTTTCTGTCTCCCGCTGATGTGCAAAGCTCCGCACCCCGAGCTGAATGGAGGAGATGTGTCTGAGGAGCCCTTGGAGAATCTGGGCCTGAGCAGGCTCCAAGAAAGAGCTCTCTGACCTTGGGCAAGTGTCTCAAGTTCTCTGAACTTCAGTTTCCTCCTTTGCAAAACAAGAACAGCTACATGCCCCATGCTCAGAAGGCTGCCGAGAAGGTAAAATGCTGCGGATACCGCATGTTAACCCCGAGCACCGTGCCCGGCGTGCCGGTGACCCTCCATCCGAAAGAACCGTAAGCACAGGTTCCCCTGGAGATATCACTGCAGAGGTGATTCACAGTGGAGGTTCGAGACGACGTTTGTCAAGCTAGCACGTCTCCAGAGCTGTGTGAAAGGGATGCCTTCCCAGCGTCTGGCCTTTTAACTGTTTTCCCTTCTCCGCTACTTCTCTGCGTCTCTGCTTGGGTCTGTGTCTGGTCACTGTTATGTCAGTCCTGGCCCTGCTTCTATCTCAGGGGCAGGGGTGCAGAGGGAGGAGGCTGGTGCTCAGCAAGCTGCCTTCCGGGGCTCAGGAGGAGCAGCTCCGTCCTGCCCCAGCCCCCGCGCAGGACCCAGAGCCGGCCGGCCGGGCCGTGTCGGGGCCGTCATGCCCAGAGCAATGCAAACAGGATGTATGTGTGATTGCGGTCTGCACCGGGAGCTTTTACACCATCCAAGGTAAATTATTTCACAAAAAGCTGTCAGTTTTGGCAGGCCTTCCGAAAGTTAGCAGACAGCTTTATCGGAGCTACAAGGAAGTTCAGACAGACTCTGGGGAGCACGCCTTTTTGGAGGCCTGTATCCCTACTCCCAAGTTGTCACAGCGTTTTACATAAATTCCCATCCAAGACCAGAT